TAAAGACCTTATTTAGTTGCATATTGTACTTGCTTACATTTAATAATAAAATTTCCTCATTGTTTTGTTTGTTTTGTCTCTGAATGTGTCTATGCATGCATAAAGACATATAGACAACATTTATATACAAAATAATGTTATGGGCTTAATTGTCAATTTGATCCTTAGCTTATTTAAGTTTTAAATTTGGTATTGTAGTATGATTAATGGGGGTCTTGAATTGAGTTTCGATTCAATGACTGTATTTGTCTGCTACAATTTCGGTTTAGAACTAAAATGAGTATTAAAATCTGATCAGACTTATCTAATACTCATCATAAATGATTACTCGGCCAAGTGGGAGAATGTTGGACACGATTTTATTATGTGGCCTGAGTTATCATTTATCTAATTAATTGATCATTGACCTAATAAATACCCTACGTATTTATTTGGTAATTATTCGATGGACGTAATTACCCTTATGACCTAATTAGGGTTTCCCCTTGGGTGTATAAATAGAGGTCATTAGGCAGAAATCAACACACTAATCTTACGCCTCCTCTCTGCCTCTCTATTCTCGTGAGTCTCATTCTCACCTTAGCCATCATAACGATACACCCTAAACGGGAACTCGATCTGCGTGAGAATCATGGCCTCATCCCTAACTACGTTTACAGGATTATCAGGTACACATGATTAAATCCCTAATTTATATTTTATGTTTAAGAATTGATCAACACACCGGTGAAAGAATGTTGAAAGTTCGTGTACTTTTATGAAAGAAATTAAAGTTTATATATCGAAGTGAAATAATGACGAAAGTTCGTATACCATGGGTGAAATTTACTCCTAGTTCCAACTTTGCTCTGGATTTTTTTTATTTTTTTTCTCTGTATCAGTATTTGCAAGCATCCCCTTCTCTTTTCTACCATTAATATGTAGGGAGGTAGTGTACGATTTTCTCTCTTCCATTTTTTTTCATTCAGAAATCACTCTAAATAAGACTAAAACATAGAGAGAAGTACCAAAATAGGACTTTCATACTTTTATTCCCGAAATGGGACTTTGCACTATAGTAATGTGACACTGTAGATGTACATATTACTATACTTTTTGGTAATGTACATGACCATGTTTAGTAATGTAAATACATTTTAACTCCTTTTTTGGGAATAAAAACATGAGTCTTATTTTGGTATATTTTCAATGTTTTACTTCTATTTTAGTCTTTTTCCCTTCTTTTTTTAGTTCATTGATATTTTTAATGTCAAACCCATGAAATGACTTGGAATTCTAGCTTATTTTTTAATAGTTGGTGTTATGAAATCGCTTTTTAATTATTCATTTAGAAGATTCAAATTGGAGTTAGATTCAAACATAATTCTTTTTCTTGTGTTGATTTGGTTTGGTTTTTGGAAGATGACTTTATTTTTTATTTTTTGAAAATTGATATTTCAAGATTTGAATTTGGTATCAATATTACTCCCTCTGTCCTATTTTAAATTTCCTGTTTGCCTTTTTTTCTCCGTTCCAAAATAAGTTGCATGTTACTTGTTTTCGTAAACTTTTAAGAGTAAAAATACCTAAACTACCCCTAAAATAAGTCACTCTTCTCCACCTTATCTTCTCATTCATCGTCATCCCTCCTAAAAAGTAATGGCAATTTTGGAAAATCAACTTTATTTTTTCTTTTCTTTAAATATGTCCAAAAGTCAAAACAGGCGATTTAAAACGGGACGGATGGAGTAATAGTTTGGGTTATAGGAGTTTGATATGATGTAGATTCAAACTTGTTTGAAAAATGTACTATTATTACATTTCTCTTCCAGTTTTTTGGATTAAGTCAAATTTTAGAGTTTTTTAGTGTGGATTTTTGTATACTTCAATTCTTATTTACATGTAAGTTTAGTTCGAATTGGTGATTTCACTTCCAATTGTATATTTTTTTTATTCTTAGAGAAAGTGCTATTTAAGAAGCTTGAGAATTACAGATTACAGATGGCTTATATAACACAATTCACATAACATATTTAATTTCTTATTTAGGTCATATTTTAATACTCCCTCCGTCCTATAATGTTCTTCCCACTCACTTTTTACACGGTCAAACTTTTATCACTTTCTTTACCTATTTTCATTAGGTATTTGATAAAATAATATAATCTTGTCACCACTTGTTTTGTAGAACTTTTGATGTAGTTTTTAAATATATAAATTTTATTCTTTAATTTTACACCTACAATCAAATAAATTGAATTGAAAATAAAGTCGGTCAAACTTCGTAAAATGAACCGGAAAGAACATTATAGGACGGAGGGAGTATGAGATAGTAATAAAAAAACAAGAAGCCACAATTATTTTATAAGGAGTATTAAAAGAAAAGATGTTTTTGAACAATCCTTTATATATAATATTTGAGAGTTGAACTCTCAGAATTGCGACATTTGGCGTGCTGATTGGAATTTTTTTTGACACTTCATCAGTCACGTCATCAAAATCGACTTCCTCAATATTTCAAACGGGTTGGGCTTCTAGAATTATGACATGTGGCGTGCTTATTAGACAACTCTTTTGACATACCATCAGCATGCCATGTTAGCAAGTAATGTTTAAAAAATAGTTAACAAAAAAACTTATTATGCGGAAATTAAATTTCATATTTGTTACACATGCACAAATTTTTCCATATAATCGTGTTTAAAAACTTTTATATTTTCATTCATTATTGGAAAATATTTAAATTAAATAGTATATTTTGAAATTTTAAAAAAACACCTATTCAAAAACTATAATCAAAACAAATAAATTTACTTTAAGAACGGATAGATTGGTAGGATTAAACAAAATTACATTTGATTTTTTTTCTTTGAATTAATACTAATTGGATAGATTTTCTAATTATTTAAAAAAAGAAACAAATATATAAAAGGAAATGGATTTTTATGGGCACGCTTATTTAATAGAGCATTAATTTTATTCCGTATATATAAATAATTCTAAATCAAATAAAAAGTACGTTCCAGTTTAAAATTAGTATTTTCCAGTTTAAAATTATTATTTTCCATGTATAGCTTTGTAAAAATTTACATGTAACAAAAATTATCATTTTCCATTTATAACTTTGTAAAATGATCAAGACTTGATAAGTGAGTATTTATGTGTAAGAAATTAAATATTAATTGGTGTTCCTAATCGAAATATTTATGGTATAATATTAATTGTTATAAATGTAATTACTTTTATATTTAATTCTGAAAAAATATAAAATGTGCTAATTATTCTGACATCTATGTCAAAATAATATAAGTAATATTCTTTCTTATTTATTCAGTGAACCATCGACATCAATGTAACAAATATTGGTGGATAATAAAAAATATATATTTAAAGTTTTTAGATAAAAAATTATAATATTTATTTTATGATGCTTACTACAAATACAAAAGGATAAGGATCATCATCGGCTATAAACTCGCATCATCGAACACGTTCGAGAAAGAATGTACTTTGCAAACTCGTTCCAGTACATATTTCCCAAAAAATTACCTATAATTTTCCAACCACGAAACAATTATGCACATGCTTCATCGCACTTTTAAGTGCATAAGAAACAGAAGAGAATTGATCTATGTTTACAACCCATTCTACTAATTTCTTTGAATATGATAATACAACTATTGTCTTTTGTATAAAATATTATAAACAATGTAAGAAAATAGATATGGTGGACACACTCGATATATTTTAAATTTAAATGTCGAGGTAGAAGGTTCATATGTTTAAGATACATTAGTGGAATCAATTTTAGATGATCCTGCATTTAGAGAAATAAAAATTTAAAATATGTTTAGATTATATATGCAACATGTAAGTTGTGTAGAATGCTATATATATATATATATGTTTGTGTGTGTGTGTGTGTATATATATGTGTGTGTGTGTGTGTGTATATATATATATATATATTTATTTATTTATATATATCTGTGTGTGTGTGTGTGTATATATATATATATAGAAGACTGCCTACATCATATTTTATTTTTCCTTCAGAGACAATCTATTTTGGGAATCTTGCATTTATGTGTGATTTTCGGGAAACTTTGTTATGACATGAACTATGAAGAAAGAATCAAATGAATAAAGATTCAAAACATCTAAAGTTTTCAATTTATTGCATAAAATAAAAAGTTTAATTGTCTCTTCTAAAGAAAACCATCTGATTTGCGTGCTCTATAATTTATTTTATGGTCTTTGTGTGAAGAGTTCTCATTACCATGAAAAATTTAAATAAATATAACTGTATGTTTTCATTAACATTTATAAATGGAAATATTGATACATCTCACAATAACATTCAGCAGACACATTCATCATCACATACCATGTTTAATGTCACAATATGGTGAAAGACCAAAATTTACACAATTGTATATTTATGGTATACAGAATGAGATGTGAAAACAAATAACTTATTTTAGGTATCTCGAATACTTTATTGAGTACACCCTTTTAATAAAAGTATTATTTACATGTGTTTGACAATATAATACACATGGAACATTATTAACATGCTAATAAAAACAAATTGTTCTATTTGAAAATTATGGTAGAGGAGCATAATGTTTTAACACAGATATTTAGAAGAACTAAAGACTTCATGGATAATGAGCCTACTTTTAATGTAGCATTGAGACTGTTGAGAAGTAAGACTTCATATATAATGAGCCTACTTCTAATGTATCATTGAGGTTGTTGACAAGTAAAAGTAGAGACTCAAGAAATTATAATATCTCCACAATACATGAAGTTGGTGCTCTAATAGTTAAAGATCTTGATTCTTAACACAAGTTATTCCTCAAGAATATAGTGAACTTCACTTATCCAAACTTATTGAAGAACATAAAAAACTATTATATTCTTTTTTTGAAGATAGTGCACTATTGGCACCCGTGTTCGAGGTTGTTGAATCGTAAATGAATTTGTTTTATCCTTTATTCCATGAGGTGAAAAGTAGTACTTAATTTCTTATTCTTCATGCCAACAAGTTTGGAATTAAAAAAGACATTTTTGAGTACATTTTCAATTCCTCAAATATTATATATTTATTATATTCTACCTTGGTGTTTTTGTCCAATGATAAAAAATCGTGTTAGAAATATATTTACTTGATCCGAAAAATATATTGCATTAAAAAAAATTCAGAATCGACAAAAATTTCGTCGACCCCGTGCGTTGCACGGGTGAAAATACTAGTAATAATATGCTTAAGTGCTTAAACGTTTGTTGCTTTCTTTCTGAATAATTTTCTTTATTACTATTGTTGTTATTACGGAGTACTATCGTTTTTATTTGATTTCGTAGGGTCAACATGATGAATTGAAAAATAAAATTTAATAGAGGGTAACATATGATGTTAAGTACAAGAATTATTATCAACCTATTAAAAGTTTTGTAATGTTTCATATGCTATAATTCATGTGGTTGTAAACAGAGATGTAACATTCTAAATGGAGTTCATGTTGAAGGAGATGAATCTAATATGCCTCTTTTGCAAACGCTAGCTCCAAAATGGTTCAAAGTGACAAAGGTCCAAAAAAAAATGTACTCCGTAACTATAAAATTATGTTTTTTTTACTTTACCTTATTATGTACTTTCTCAATACTAGGATCATCCTTTTCCATCTTGATCGTATTCTTTTTCAATTTTTTAATAAAATTGTTTACTCTTAAAATTTATTTTTTTTAAAAACAATACTATTTTTCCTTTATATTGGGCACTTATGGAACTTTTTCCCTTGGCATGGGCACTTACGCACAATTGGCACAAAGTGCGATTCTAGCTAGTATGTATAATAACAAGTGAAGTTGTTATATACTAACTCTGTCCCAGTGTATTTGTCTAGTTTGACTTTTTCGAGTCAAACTGGACAAACTTTAAACTCTAATTACTCTTAATTTATATTGCATATTAGCATAATGAAATACAATTTTGAAAGTTCTCAATACGATAAACCAATAAAATTATTTTTATGTTAAAATACATTACGGTTTTTATTTAATTGAAGCTCAAAATTTGTCTAATTTGACTCAAAAAAGTCAAACTGTACAAATACATGAGGATGGAGGGAGTACTCCGTATAAGAAGTGTGTTGGTAAAAATAACAAATTTGCAATAAATTACCTCTTCTATTGGATTGGACAAAAACAAAAATAAGTTGCTAAAATTGCTATACTTTAGCATTTAGTAAGAAGGTTGAAGATGTTGTATGGGGGTAAGACCTGAGTGCAATTCTTGAAAATTGGGGAGAAAGCTATGTTAAACATAAAATCTTTGTAAATACTAGCTGCAAGCTTTACTCTGCCACTAATCTCGTATCAAAATTTAATTTATCGTCTCTCAGTGGCCATCCGTTCGGATTTGAGGATGCCTAAGAGGATGGGGCCCATCTTTTTTAGAACTATAATCCACACTACTTCCTTTGTCCCATAAAGATTTGTGTTGTTTGAATGATGTGTAAAAATCTCATCATTTTAAAAATAATTTTATTTAACAATTGAAATAAAAATAAAAAAAACTCCGTATAAATTACAAAATTATAAAATACATAAAAAGTTTTTACAAAACAAGAGATGATAAAAATTATTTTATTTTAATAAAATAATCAATGAAAAGATGTAAACAAACAAAAATTATCGAATTGTGATAGTAAGAGTGTAAATCATTTTGGGATGAAAAATGGGTATAAAAAACTGATTTACTCTGTTTCAAATAAGTATGGTCCTATGAACATGGTTTCGCTTTAGATCAAGTCTCGATTCGTACCAGAACCTGATCAACGAGAGAGATTATTTAGTATACATTGATGGTGTAAGGCTTTTGCAGCATGAAGACAAGAAGTTGAAATAGGCTAATATGGTGTAAATTAATTTGACTTGGTTACTATTTCGGATTGAGTTTGAGATACTAGTAATAAGCTAAGTTTATAAAGTAATTATCAAAATAAAAACAAAGACTAAAGAAAACACCGTAATTAGGAACACATGTACTCTAGTTATTACAGATTATTAATATTTTGAGCGTGGAAGACTATCACACTTATGAATTTCGTATATAGTCACTGAGACCTTGCACACATATTTATAGATAAAAATCATGGCTATTGTTGGCATGTGATCTCATAGTATCCACATGAAGAATTGAAGCACATACGTGATCAAATGTGTTCTTTGGACCGTAGCGTTTTGACTCTAGCATCACATCACCGATTGGTGAGTCCCAGAAGATCGCATTTGATCTGCTTTCGACTCGTTAGGCGAGGAGTGTGTCCCTCCACATGTCTTCGTCGATGTTTACCCAATATGTTAGACGTACGGCCCATGTCCCTCCTTGTGGGGCCTTATTTTGGTTCCAAATTCCATAACATTTATAGCTTCATTTGGAAAACATTTGTGCCAATTTAGCCCAATTCTTAACTGTTTGGGATATTTGACCATCTTGGGTTTCACAGACGTACACTAACAACTTGGGATTGTAAGAACTGAAGGTACCATGAAGTTCCCAATTTACTTCCTGTCTTTATGCATATGGTTTATACAACAAACCTAGAAAAACCAAGTGCATTACAAAAACAAAAAAAAAAATGGAGGGCAAGACCGCAAGACAGAGCATTTTTAAAATCTGGTTTATTTTGACAAGTACACTTAGGCATTTTGTATCAATGCCTCAATGGGGAACCCAGTACAAACAAGTACAGAAGTTACAGAATAGTCACTCTACAACCAAGTGGAAAGGAAACTCTCAGCAAACAGATAACAGATTCGCGAAGACAGCCAAAAAGTGCGACAAATAAGGCTTCCATTTCAGATGCTTGTCAGCAGCATCACAAGTGTGACAAGTAGAAGTGCATGACAAATGATGAGACCGATCTTTGAAACAAGTATGGCTGAACTGGTATCAGGTGCATAGCTTCCATCTGGTGTGCTGGTTGTCAAAATTACAACTACCCAGTCATCTTCCGAGCCAATCCCAACACCAATATATTTAGAGTCATTGAGGTAGCGAGAATACTGGGACAGCGTGTAGTTTGAGAGAACAAGAGCACGATCAAGGCCAGGAACGCAAGCAGGTAATATGGCTCCACCACTTGTAGTGGTGACATTCAACTTGCACTTCCCGAGGAGGTTTGGGTAATCTTTGAAATTAGTTTCTGTGCCTGGAACCGTGTCCGGACCAGAGCTATTTGTACACGGTTGATCTTTAAACTCGTCAGCCATTTTCTCAGAAAAACATTCTGCTTGATCATTCTTAGTCAGAGGCTGCAACTTTAGTGTTGCCCTGTAACTGTTAATCCCACGAAGAAGGTCGTCTTCCTTGTCATCTGTAAACGACCAAACTATATTACTGTGACATAATGGAAATATCATTAAAATGCTGTATACGGATTTCTAACAATGATAAGATGATCATGGAAACATATATATGAGCTTCTTGAATTTCTCTGCACGCGTGCATTGCCAATGAAGCTAAAAGAGTCACTTTTGACAATGTTTTAGCTTCGGGTATATAATGAACTACCTCAAAGGTCTCACAAAGACAACCTCTCTATCCATGACCCTTAGACCCCAACAGAATTGGAGTTATACTCAGTTGGCTTTGTTCCTGTAGTTTCTGTTTACTCTGCGGCATACGTTTATGCCAGAATGGAAGAGCTAGCCAAAAGCACAAAACACAATCTATATATACAGATGTGAAGAAGACAACTTTGGAAGGAGGGACAGCATGGATCTGGAACCCAAGAGCTACGTAATGTTTTCTCTCGCAAATGGAGGTTGAACGGAAAAGGAGTCTGCGAAATATGATCAGTCGAAGAAGCAGTTATGAAGACTTGGATAACTGGTGTTTCATTGACTTTTTCTATTTTGGTTGTCTTTATGTCCTGTTTGTTTACCTTCGGGGCGTTGGTCTAGTTCTCCCTGAACGTGTTTCACTGTATCGGTCTCCTTTACTCTGAATAAATTCGGTAATCGTTCCCGGCGTTACCACACCGATTTTGGTGCCCCCTACCGGGAGAATATATATATATATATATATATATATATATATATATATATATATATATATATATATATATATATATATATATATATATATATATCAACTTTCTGTTTAAACTTTCTATATAAACTTTCTCAGTCTTTCAAGAGTTCGTTTGGGAATTGAAAAAATGAGTTTCTAAAGTCAATTTAATTTCCAGATTATCATGTGGTTTGGTTAGCAAGGGAAATGAAATTGATGAAAAAAAGGACATCTAATATGACTTCTAGATGTTACCCACCGCCGCTTTGCCACAGCCATGAGCTTGACTGCACCACCCACCCCCTCACCACCGCCATAGCAGCAGTCTTCCAACAGCCACCGCTTTTACCGCCACCACTCCGGTACTACTACTACTACTACCACCACCACCACCAGGCACCCACCGTACCATTATTAATGTGGTGAAATTCAAATTAAAGAATGACTTCGCATATATGAATAGCATATCAACCCCAATCAGAAACTTGCAATGCAAATACAGATTCTTACTTCCAAACAATCACTAATTCTGGTGCACATAGAACAAGTAATTTCAAGCTTCCATTCATATCGAAACAAGATAATGCAGATACATACGGATCTCAAAACCCTAATTGAAATCTGTCAATTACCAAAGTAAAACATGCTATAAACGAGCTCGCTGAAGCCGCTTGAAATTAAGTATCGAATTTTTTTTGTGAAGCAAAATCAACAAGACAAGAACAGGTGAAAACGAATCACAAACCATGGCTTCTGACTTTGATGAAGAGGATGGACTGGAGAAGAAGGGAGATGAGAATGAGATGACGCAGAGATGTCGCACCCATTGTGGAGTATTGAAAGTGGGAAGAGATGGAGTGCGGAAAAATTAATGCTCCTCAGCTATGTTGGCAAGTTGCAAGAACAAGTATTTTATGTACATGGGGACATAATATTTTATCTCTTTTAAAAATTTAAATTACTAGTGATGGGTATATCCCTATACCCGACCCGGAAAACCGAAAGGGACATGTCAAAGTATGACCGGTCACTTTTATCAATCACCAAATGAGGTTAACTCTTCGATTTGGACGGGTCAAAAGTTGACCGGTCACTTCCACTAAAAATGTGACCGGTCACATTTTGGGCGATAACGAAAATATCACCTTATTCTACGAAGGACATTCTAGAAGACCAAAGAGACGGGTTGAGCGCAAGAAATGACCGGGTAACCTTTCAGAGAAGGTGACCGGTCATATCACTTTACTTGGCTAACATTGGTCCAGTCTCTTAGGCATGGTGAACCACGTCAGAGGTCAAAGGGACACCCCGCCGCTCATCCATCACGAGGCACACAGTGAAAGGGATGTTTGTCATTTTGCAGGGTTGATTGGATTGAGAATATCCATTTTAGTCTTTGATTGAACAGTGCTTTTTGGTTGTATTAGTAGCAAGTCCATGATTGTACAGTGCTTCCATTATCTACAGTGACCTTCCCACGAGCTTCCTATTTTGTCCATGGATGAACAGGGGAAGGTCACAAATCCTCCTCTATAAATATGATGATATTGGATAGAGGAGGGGATCTATTCTTTTCTCTCACTAAAAACTAGTACACTCTTGAGACAGAGTAAGAAATATATTTCAGACTGAGGAGATTTACCCGGTCTAGGTCATACTTTGTGTTCTTGTTGTGCGTTTTATATTACGGGTCGAGTGTCCAGGTTAAACCCGGTTAACCCGCCCAGCTATATTTACACCATCATTTTTGGCGCCGACCATAGGACCGATTTTTAAAGTTTTTTCGACCAGGTCAAAACTTT